GCGACTTCGTCCGCGTGGAATAGTGACGTCGATCAAATAAAGTCATATCTAACCTATAACCCCTTACTACCCTTTTTATCATTAAAAAGTAGTCTACGTCCTTTCCCAGGATCTAGACTATCTGAGTAACAAATTTCATTCAAATCAGTTTAGTAGTTTTGGAGTGAAAGCGAGACAGACAGTCATACATAGTTATTTTCGCATTTATAACATTAGTAAGTGTAGCGAACTCGTTGATAATAAATAAATTATTTATTGTTACTTTCTATTATGTATCGTTGCCATGTAGTATGTAGTCGCATTTTATTTTATCTTCGTATTTTCCTCATTAAAACCCTCAGCACCTCTCACTCATCAGACACATTAGATACCTCCGCTTCAGTAAGGAAGTAAGGATTTAAATGTAGTCCCAATAACGTTTTCCTATAAACCGTAGGGTACCTGTTCTAATTCTCGTCGTCAGAACTCCAGACTATTGCATGATATGCAACAATGAAACGTTGAGCAACTAACGTACACGAATTAATTTACGATACATAATACCCACAATTATATCAAGATTTATGATGATTTCATGAATTATTGGCAAGCCTCATAAATTCTTGTCAGCAATTTCTAAACCGAAATATAGGTTATAAAGGTAAACGAACTTTCGAGAAGCTATGATATTTCTAGTTTTCTTAGTTTCAATTGATAGTCTGGGACTGAGACTGGACTTGATAAGGCCAGTTCCTAGTTTGCTCTGATATCTATGAATGATTTATTTTGTTACTCATTAAACTATTTATTTATTGTGTCAACATTGCTATTTGGTATTTTGTATTTACCCAAAATTAAAAAATATATATATATATATATAATCTTGTTCTTCTTGTGATGAGTTTGCATTCTGAATGAGTCTTAGAATCCAAACTATATGACGTTCAAAAGTGCCTGTCTTCGCATCTGGGAATGAAATTATTGAACAATATATATATATATTTATATACATATGGATGCAATCACTTTCAAAAATTATTGGCTGCACCACAGATATTCTTGGAGGATCTATTTTTTGAACCCCCATCTGGGGTCCTGTAATTGGTCTCAATTAATCAACAGATAACAATCGAAAGGTAAATTTGGATTTATTTTGAATAAAGATTATTTCAATTCAAAGAAAATATTAATTACACAACAAAATGTATATAAAAAGGTTTATGTTTGTTATAGTTAGCAGTTTTAAAATAAGATAATATATACGTACAGATATATTTAATTGAAAAAAACACATGTCACACAGTACAAAGACTTTTTCACAAGGGAGAGAATAAAAAAAAAAAGTATATATATATATATAATATTTTGTTTTTGTTTGTATTTTTATCTTATATTCTATAGCTTTTGCCCGCGGCTATATTATTAATTTAACTAATAAAATCCTTTCTTAGGGTCATAGTTTTTATGAAAAATAAATTGACAAAGTATTTTCATTATATATTAATCTGTTTCTTAGCGGATGCCTCCTTCATAACATCTACTTGCATGCCAAATTTCAGCCCGATCCGGCCAGTGGTTTGGGCTGTGCGTTGATAGATCACTATGTCAGTCACCTTTGAGGTATATATATATATATAGACTACTTGCATAGGAGAAGTTATATTATTAAATTGTTACTAATAAAATGGACCATGTTATTTGAAAAATAAATTATTATTTATTATATATCTGTGTCCGACAGAAATTATTTATCTGTAACATTGACACAGATTATAAACAAAGTTAGGGTTGCTATACAGTTATTTAATATTATATATTATTAAATAAAATATAAAGATTATTTCTATTCAAAGAAAATCTTCACTAGACAACAAAATACAAAAAAATATTATACCTCTGCAATTTCGGGGAAACATATTCATTCGTTGTTTACAGAGTTATAAAGTCTTGAGTCATAAAAACGTATTTTATCGTCAAATATTTGCAGAGAACCGATATCCATGAATCCTGTCAGTAGCAAAACATATATAATATTTTTAGATAAACGTTGATCTAAGACGTTGAACTTAATATTTTTTAGACTAGCTGTTCCCGCGACTTCGTCCCCGTGGAATTTAACTTTATTTTACTAAAATAAATGTAGCCTAAGTTTCCCCTTATTACATCAGATTCCCGCCAAAGAAAGTCCCGTCAAAATTGGTCCTTTCAGAGCCGGAACAAACAGACAGACAAAAATGGTAAATATTGTTATTTTGGTGTATTACGTTTTTATATTCATATGCATGTAGTAAAAATGATTACTTCAATATTACAGACATTCCACTTTTATTTATAAATGTATATTGTACTCGGTGGTCTAGTGGTTTAGCATAATTCCGTTAGTCGCGGGTTTGATTCCTCGCACGGTAATATTTGTATTCATGATTACGATTGTTTGTATAAAAATACTGTCGTATTTATATCAATTATCCATAAAATAAGCTCTGTTAAAGTAAACTGATACAAATACATAGATATTTTTTTTTGTAAATACATACATATTATATATAGTAAACACCCAGACCGATACAAACAATCATACTCATGAATACAAATGTTTGTGCCGTGCGAGGAATCAAATCCGCGACCATCGGTCGTAAAGCGGTGTGCTAGACCGCTAGACCACCGAGGTCGTCAAATATTAAAAAATGCTCTCTGAATAGCTCAATCACTTAATCGTTGTTATTAACGTATATCAGATAATTCAATCCTATAATTTACGATCGCTAACAACAATATAAATCGTAATTGCATCTCACGACATCACTACAATAACCGTAAATAACGGAATTAAGAATATACACACGTAGGTGTCAGCAAATGGTGGTTTTACCCGACCATTGCTCATAATATTTCATCGCTAGTAAATGTACTGCACTGCGTGATGTATGGCGACAGACGGACATATAAATTGCTCATAATTTATTATTGTGGAAGCAGCGTTGGACCTAATTACCGCGCACGCTTGACTCATAGCTAGGTTGGCCAATTCTGATGATTTTTCCGCCGGCCTCGGTGGTCTAGCGGTATAGGACACGGCTTTTCTTCCGATGGTCGCGGGTTCGATTTCTTGCACATTACGAACATTTGTATTCATGAGTATGAATGGTTTGTATCGGTCTGGATGTTTTCTGTGTATATTATGTAGGTATTTACAAAAAAAGCTAAGTATTTATATCAGTTGTCTAGTACCCAGAACACTAGCTCTGTATACCGTGCGACTAGATGGCGCTGTGTTAATTGTCCAGAGTTATTTATTATTTCGGAATTTAATCGATAAAAAATAGGAACAAAGGCCAAACAAATGTTTCAAATATATTTTTATTCTTGTTTGGTTGTGTGTCTCTCGAGTTGGGTTCTACCTACTCAATATAGTCAAACGCTCATGAGATTGTTCGACATGAAACCTTTTACCATCGCACTACTCACCATCGACAAGGAATTCATCCCCACACGCAAGAACTCAAGTGGTCTCGGACAGTGCGGGCTCAGAACAGCTTCATCCCGTGTTCACTTAGATTGTACTGGTGGAATGAACTACCTGCTGAACTGCTGAGGTTTTCTAGAGCCTACAGCATAGGGTTGTCCAAGAAAGGTATATTATGGTTTCATAAGGGTCGGTATCTTTTGTCTATGGTAACTGATTACAATCAGATGGACGTCCTGATAAGTTGTAATCGAGAATTGGCAACCTTACTCATAGACCAGAAGTTATACGGCTTCAGATTATGTACTATGATAAATTATATAATGCTACATACTATGTTGTTAATTATGGTTGTCAGATAATTATGTGATCATATTGACCCACTTTTAGTTAACTTTGATGTAACAGTATCAATGTATCATTAATAACAGTAATCGTGACTACTATTGTTGTATAGTACTGACAATATTAATTATTCTCGCATTTATATTAAACAAGTAAATTAATCATTACATAGTATAAAACAGTCGCTGCCGTTGTCTGTCCCTACGTATGCTTAAATCTTGGAAACTACGCAACGGATTTTGAAGCGGTTTTTTTAATAGATAGTGATTCAAGAGGAAGGTTTTTATATATAATACATGTACACCCGGGCGAAGCCGAGGCGAGTAGCTGTTTTATACTATGTAATAATGATTAGGTTTAAAATTAAGATGTTTCTTGTTTTATAACCTGTTTGAAAGTTATACGTATAATTAGTAAAAATCACGGGATCTTACCACGTTTTATATTTATTTGCTGAGTTCCCGATATTTCGGTAGTGTTTCAACCACCATGATCACGGGTAAACTCGTTTGAAAGTTATTTGCTATGACGTTTTTTTATGTAATTCAAATGGGAAACAAGCTGACCACCTAGTGGTAAGATGGTAACTCTACATCATGTTTCCATTCCATATGAATCAGATGTCGTGCATCTTATCCTGTAATTTCACTTTATCTCACATCAACCTAAACACAGCTTTTTTATTGGAGGTTTGGGCTATTGTCAGGTGCTAAGACCTGTAACACTGCGACCTGTATCTATTGCTCACCCTTATTCAAAGTGTGCTACCTAGACCCGTCAGAGACAAGAATTGAAGGATAATCTTAGGAGCGATGGTTTTTATCTCTTCAGGATATAGTGTATACTTGTCAAGGGAGATATTTTGTGTATGCATGTGTAGGTTACAACCACATAGGTTGTGTAGTGGTGTTTCCTCTTTTGCTTGAGAAAAAGAAAAAATCTGCAGATTGATGTTAAACTATGACCTAATTTCGCCTTGTGCTTATTCAGGTTGCAGTGTCCAGTGAGCCTTAGTTATGATGAAACATAGTTTACAAAGCAAACTACTTGGTGAAATATCTGAGACTGAGGTACATGCACTTGTTCCAAAGACTACCATGTTACGTGTTAATAAACATGTTTCTACAAGTTACCTTTATAGTTCAAACCAAACATTTGGTCGGTTTGTTGTAACAGGAAATGAAATGAAAGATAGAGAATTGAAATTAAATATTTACGTATATTATTTCATTTTATGTCCTTTATAACAACATTTTTATGTCAACAGGTATCAATTGCAGATAATTTATTAAGTGTTCATTCATTTAATTACATGCAATATGCGTATATTATGCTTTACTCACATTTTATCTTTTATGTAACATTATTCAGTGTTTGTGTGTACATTATTATAGTGATTTATTCGTTTACAACACAACAGAGTGTATGTTTAGCAAGAAATACTATTTTAATTACGAAACATAAAAACATGAGATTCGTTGAAGATCTTAAACAGTGGCTATAAAAAGAATTTGCTATACAACGTTGAAAATACAATGAGTAATTAAAATGAATAACGTTGCGGTAATACAGCTATTTGAATTAATTCAATGAGTACACTATGTGAATATCGTCTTCAGTCATACAATATATAGCTTCTAGATTTATATAAATTACACAGATATGTAACGCCGATGAATCAAATTATCGCACAATATTTCGATTAAAGAATACAAACACAATTTAACAATCCTTTCTAACTGCAACAACTTAAATTAAACACGATTTAAATTACAATCTATAGATTTGGTACATAAAAATTTCGTTAGTCTAACTAGAAAATTAAAGTCCGCATTGGCGGGCAAGCTTGAAGATGAGCTCACGCTATTCAGTGCACTAAACATTATTTACGAGAGATCACAGCTGTCGCGGCCCCACCGGGCTAACACGTCCGTCGATGATATGAGCCGACTAGAAATCCGGACTAAACTAGCATATATTTACACTATCCGGTTCCGAGAGTCCTTTTGGCATGGGCGTTAGTTCTCGGCGCCCCCCTTTTTCTGTGCGTGGAGCGCCGACGGTCCTCAAGGGTGAAGAGGCCGAGGCCCGAATAACGGGTACGAGGGAAAGTACGCTGCTAGCGACGGATGAGGCGGTAGTGGAAAGGGCAGCGGAGGAGACGATACTAAGTGAGACGGCTTACTGTACGGATGGAACCTCGGAGTCAGAGGAGATAGAGGCGGCGTTGGATACGTCCTCTGCAGCAACGGATGCGTTGCGCTCAGCATCGACAAACTGGGACTGGATTCACCGCTCGCCGTGTGAGATCTTAAATGTTGAAGCAACTCTTCTGAGGTTGCGAACCTTTTGCCACAATAAGCTGAATCTCCTGCCATCCAACTGCATACGAATGGCAACTGTGATGCCGCCGCTAGAGCAGCCAATTGAGCATGTGCATACGCAGCTGCGGCCGGATGTCCGGTTGGTATAGTGAAAGGCGTTTTGGCATGATCACACTGCGCACACCCAGCGGGACATACAGCAGATTTGAGCAAATGTGAACTTAGAGAACAACCAGTGCAGTACGGATCTCTGCAAATACCTAGATCACTTCCTGGCGCTTTCATTCTTGCGTACGCAAGGTACGGATTTAATCCATTTTTGAGAGCATGGTGTTGAGCAGCCATCAAACTACTGGTCATTAAGTCCATCGGGAGAGGAAATCCTGTAGGGGGTAAACCACCGAGGAAAGCTGATGATGTGACTGGTATGTTTGGTTTGAAGGTCGAATGTTCTTTGGTGTCGGCGCTGGTTGATAGAGAGGTGGGTGTGAACGGTAACTTGGAGGCAGATGAACTGCTGGTGGAGTCCGAGTTCGACTTAGCCGGAATAGGCGAGTCTTGGAGCGGACTGGATCGTTCATCCGATTTTTCGGACGGAGTTTTCCGATGAGCCGGCGGTGGTGTTCTTTGTGATGAAGAACTCTGATTACTACTACACCGAGCCTGAACCGGAGTGGTCGATGCACTTCCTTTAGACGATAGTGGTGTTTTCGAATGAGCATTGCCAACCGAGGCTCTGTCTTCTGGTGTTCTAGTCTTTTCTCTCGCTGTTAGGCACGATTCGTAAGGCTTGAAGCTGGGTTTGTTGTCCGTCATGTGTAACACCGTTTTCTCGTCGTACTTCTTGCTGGCTTTCTCCGCTGCGGATATCAGCTTCGGGTTCGGAGAATCGGCGCCGATAGCGCTGCAAGTCTGCGCCAGTAGTGCCAGCGGGCTCTTTTTCGCGTCGAGCTGCAACAAAGAGAGGTTTATGAAATGAAACGTCGGGCCGAGGTTGCAAGTGACGGGTGTACAAAGGGACCGCAGGGAGGGCGCGGGACGTGGGGGCGTCCAATCACGCGGCCGACGCGCCATTATCCGCGCGTCTGGCAGCCGTCGGCCCCGCTTGACATTTCACTCGGCTCCCGCATGATGTAATCTCGCAGTGAAAAGGGCAATTTGTGCTGCTGAATTTGCGGCATGTTGTCACGTCGCGTTTATTACTGTAGAATTATAGTCTGCTTTTCGATTCCGCAAACTATTAAAACAAATAATGTGGTCTTATTTTAGAATGGTCACGAAATATGTTTGACATAACAACTAATATCAATTTGCCGCTAATTTATTTAGGTTATTTTATGTAAAAGAAGTTTTTATATATTTGAATTCATATCGATTTATGTACATTTTATTTGGGATTTTTCCGTCATTAAAATTAATGTTAATTTCAGTAAGTGTATTAATTAATTATGCAAAATGAATTGAATTAATTTTATGGATATATTTTTAATTTTGTTGCTAATTTGTATAAACTGGTAATTAGGTAGATAAACATATTAATTAAAACAATTTATTTTCGCTTTCTCTTGAGGGTAATGTTACGTATATAATATGTAATTGTAAACGCATTACATTTATACCCTATTCTATACAAGTGTTTTGTTTACTATAAAAATTAAGAATATATTACCATCAAAAACAAATGTGAAATGATAGCAGAGTCAATATTATGATATATGCCTTGATTGTTGACTTCTAAGACAAAAGAGGTGAGATCTATCCTGGCCTCGTACTTTGTTAAAAATTACATATCTTTGAATTTCGTGGCTTGACCTCTATATCAGAGGTTCCCAAACTTTTTTGGTCGTCGACCCTTTGCCATATTTTTCGGTTTTGAGTAGACCCCCCATTCTTACCTGGTATTGATATTTTGTAAATTTCTAGTAGTAAAGTTTAGTGTTATAAACGTAAAGTAAAAACAACAAGATGACCGCTGTCGTAGACCCCTTGCAGTTTGTCATAGACCCCTGGGGGTCTATATAGACCACTTTGGGAATCATTGTTCTATACTATAATACACATGTATTACACATATAAACCTTTTTCTTAAATCACTCTATCTATTGATGAATACTGAATTGAAATCAGTTGCTCAATAAAATATGTAAGCGCACATAATAGAGAACAAACACTATAGATAAAACTAGAGAACAAACACTATAGATAAAACTAGTGTTTGTTTGTAATCTAAAAATTAATTTTGAGCTTGCCACTAAACTCCTTTTAAAATTAGTTATAACTAACTTTTATTTTAGAATTATATTTAGCTTTATAAATAAAAATTAAATTCCACGCGAATGACGTCACGAGTAATATCTAGTATTATAGATAGAGTAATAGTTAGTATATAGAATAATTAATTTAATTAATATTTATTCTCAATTAATCACGATTTACTTTCACTACGTATTTATGACCGATTTCAATGAGTCCTTTTTGACAATGGAACAAGAGTGCATTGTTAATAAAATCAATGAAATGTGTACAATACTCACACTTTGTTAACAACTGTTATTTACTTTCGAATCGTTTATAAAGTTTCATTCGTTCAAATAAGTGCTCAAACACGAGGTTTCCTAGCCTTAATGAATATATTTCCGCTTCTGTTAATGGTTTTTGAACTTTATATTTAGTACAGTTTAAGTTTCTTATTGCTAATTAGTGTCTGTTATATGTAAATTGTAATAATATATAATCGTAGTAATAATAATTTTAATTTATTTGTGAACAATGTTGGGTACTAGATGTTCTGGAAAACATGGCTCTTGCTAGTTCTGAAAAATCCGATATATCAAGCGTACAAATCCTATTAGTGTATGTATTATAAACGCGAAAGTTTGTATGTATGGATGTTTGTTACTCTTTCACGCAAAAAGTACTGAACGGATTTCTATGAAACTTTAAAGTATTATAGCTTGTGCATCAGAATAACACATAAGACTATATTTTTATTGAAATTTAACGCGGCTGAAGCCGCGGGCAAAGCTAGTATGTAATATATTACGTATTAAACTATTATATTTACCACCGTTAGATTTTAAAATTTATAAGATACTAGCTGTGCCAGCGACTTCGTCCGCGTGTGTATAGTGATCAATGATGCTGTCATTGATCTAACCTAGATCTAACTAAAGTAAAATATTTATTGACCTAACCCAATAAAGCCGAAAGGGAATTGTTAGTAATGTGGACTTATGATTATTGCTAGCAATGTACCATGTCAGGTTGACCTCCACGCGGTTCCCCCTGGAAATCATCGTGATAAATTCATGGTGAATGTCACGATGGGCTAACTGACCTGACCTCATGCTCGTCTTATCATCCTCCACTGGTGCCCCGCTAGCGTAAACCGTTAGCGCAGGCGGGTGCACCATTCCATTATCATCCATAAAAAAAAAACCCAATAAAACCAAAGAAAAACATTTCAGCATTCTAGTTTACAAAATGACTAACTTTCATACAATCTTTCATCTCCCTTTTCAAGAATTTACAACCCTATCTTCGCATTAAAAAGTAGTCTATGTCCTTTCTCAGTTTCTAATCTATCTGTATACCAAATTTCCTTTAAATCGGTTAAGTAGTTTTGGCGTGAAAGCGCGACATACAGACAGAGTTAGTTTTGCATTTGCAATATTATGTAAGTAAGGATAAGCTATCTGTTACATAAGTTTTATTTTTAATATTCATAATTAAATATAAAATATGGTCGAGCGCAGTGATGGCTGGCTCATCCGTCATACTCGTCAACGGGTGCTGCTTGCTGGGACTGGTCTGCTCTAATCACTATGACTGATTTCCTCTTATTAATTGTTTAACCAGTTGGTTATATATTCAATATTTTTTCTATTTGAGTATTTAATTGAATTAGTGCTAATTGGTGGTTTGTATTCACACACTTAAACTTAAAAATGTAAAGTAATAATAAAATTATTTAAAAGAGCAACACGCAAGTTTCTTGCTCGTCCTTCTTGTGAAGAGACAGCTTTCCGAATGAGCGGTAGATTAAAAAAACTTGACTATTCAAAAGTGCTTATATTAAGTTTATTTGAATAAACATTATTTCTATTTCTATTATTGATATATGTATATATCAATAATGATATATGTATATATATATATTCAGCCATTTTGAAAAATTAACAAATAGACAGACAAACAAACTTTTTATTTATAATGTACTTAGTGGATATTTATTGACAAATCCTATTTAAATATTCTTTAGTCACTTTGAATTGACACAAATGTTTCTGTTATGTATGATCAATATTTTCTAATATAAATTTTAATTTTTAAACAATAATAAGGGTTAAGAGATAATCAGATTACTGGTTTATTCCATTGCAGTATTGCAGTAGCAATTTAACTGAAATAATTTATTTAGAATAGAATAGAATAGAAATACATTTACCTATTCAAATAAACTTACATTGAAGCACTTTTGAATAGTCATTCTGATTCACTGTATTTCAAAGTGCAATAAAAAAATATATATTTTAATAAAAATAGAAATAATCTTTATTCAAATAAACTTAATATAAGCACTTTTGAATAGTCACATTTTTTTTACTCTACCACTCATTCGGAATGCAGACTCATCACAAGAAGAATAAGCAAGAAACTTGTGTGTTGCTCTTTTAAATAAATATTGATTTACTTATATTTAATTAACAACAAGGATTAGGCATGCGACAATCAACATAAAAACCGCTACGCACTTAATCTGTGTTCAATCAGATAACATTGTCAGCGCTATGAATTTTAAGTTAAATATTTTCTACAAAAACATTATTATCATTTATAAATTCTTCAATTTTATAATACTTAAGTAAGCTTTTTTACAAAGAAAATATTTTATAACACATTTGAATTTTTTTTTATATCACGTGATTCGCAGTCTCAAATGAAAGTATAAAAAACAGAACGCGCTAAAGTACATACTAGTAATAGCAGATGGATTGGAATGTTATCTTTGTAATTTATGAATATATAAATTATACAAGCCGACCCGCGCAACTTCGTCTGCTGATACATACATGATATTTCTCATTATATTTCACCCAATTTACATAATATCTCTTTAAATTATTGCCTACGTATTATTCAGATGTATAAACTATATTATTGTGAAGTTTCATCAAAATCCATTCAGTAGTTTTTGCGTGAAAGAATAACAAACATCTATCTATCCAGACTCACAAGCTTTCGCGTTTATAATATTAGTAAGTATATTCTAAATATTTATTTGATAGCTAGTATCAAGTATTTGTGTGAAAGATGATATGAATAAAAGAAGAGTATGTTTAGATAAGACGATCTAGTAGTTCCGCGATAAAGGCAAGGCTGATGGTCTTGTATCAAGTATTTCCCATCTGAATTTTACTTTATTTTTATTTTTCTAAAATAAAAGTTATTTTTAAATAAAAGTAGCCTAAGTTACTCCTTATTACATCAGCTACCTGCCAAAAGAAGTCCCGTTTAAATCGATCCAGCCATTTCAGAGATTAACCGGAACAAACAGACAGACAGACAGACAGACAGACAAGAATTGTAAAAAATGTTATTTTGTTGTATATACCGTATTTATGTAGATATGCATGTAATAAAAAACGGTTATTACAATATTACAAACAGACTCTCCAATTTTATTTAGATGTAATATAGATATATTACAATAAAATATATTCTAAGTTGCACCACGTGTCAACAACTGTCGGTCTCAAGACATTTAACATTATTAATTAGTCTTGGGGATAGCCCCATCGGTAATGTATTCTGTCAGAACAACCCCAAACAACCCTTGAAACGTTGCGGTTAACTCGTAACCAAACCAACAAGATTGCAAATATATCTAACTTTAATTCTCATATTGCTGGAACGTACCGTTGTTGGAATTACTATTCTATCATAATTTACGAATAAAATATTCGACGGCCTGTGGTTTAGTGGTTTAGCTAGCCTTACTTCGGATGGTCGCGGGTTCGATTCCCTGCATGGTACAAACATTTGTATTCATAAGATTATTAGCATTGGTCTAGATATTTTTATATTACATATTGTATCATTGATTATAATTAAAATTCATATTTCATGCTACACAACAACATTCTTGATTGCCATCATCGTAGTATAAAAAATAACAAAGATTGAGTGCATAACTATTTCTATATTGAATCGCATGCCTAATCCTTGTTAATGTGCATTTACTTAGAATAACTTTTATTTAAATGCGCAACAGGTAAGCTTCTAGCTCATTCTTCAAAAATATAACTATTCCATTATTATATATCAAAGTAAGTACTTATGTTCAGTTTATTGTAATGAAGATTATTTTTATTTCTATGTATTTACAAAGAATGTCTCTATATTTTTTTTTTTTCAGTGCCGTAGTGTCTAAACTAGACCTAGCCTGTATCTCAGACACCATTGCCCTATATAAGTACATCATGAGTTAACTAGCATAATTAAATTATGTATTATATAACATACTAGCTATTGTCCGTGAATTTGCACGAGTATTGTCGTTAAGATTGAAATTTGAACCTTCTGTAACGGATGTTTATGTCATAGATTAAACATGTGTTAAGTACAGCATCCAAGACTTAGCTGTTTGTATGTGAATCAGTCAGTCAGTCAGGATAATCGGCGAGTAATTATTTTTAGTCAACGGCAAATAAAGAACTTTCAATACATCTGTTTTGGAATTCTCTAGAAGTTAGATGCAAGTATAGAACTTTCAATACATTTTCAGTTGTTTTAGAATTTTCTAGAAGTTTGGTCTTGGACTGCAAAGAAATTTAACAGTAGCGCTATGTTTTGGAAGCGTACATTATGTTGATTCAAACAAATTAAACAATTTATATATTGTTTCTTCTCTCTTCTTTTTCAATTACATATAATATACTAGCTGTGCCCGCGGTTTCAACCACATATAAACTATAGCCTATATCTTATTCTGCTGCATAAGTTATATTACTGTAAAGTTCCATCAAAATCCGATCAGTAGTTTTCGCGTGAAAGAGTAACAAACATCCATACTTACATACTTTCGTGTTTATAATATTATTAAGATTAAGATAAGATATTGTTTATTTGAAGAATATGGTATTTTTCTTATAGGAATTATAAGAAAAATACCATATTCTTAAAGTATATATACCTATTTGTTTGTTTAAGGACAATACACAGCTATTTTAGTATTATTATTTTGTTGTATGTGTTCTGAAAGTATAAATAAATTATTTATCTATCTACATCTAATAAATTTGCAATTCATATATTACAATTAGACAATTCAGTTATTACAAATAATTAACATATTGTTACTATTATTATTATTTGAAAATAATAAGAGCCAAGTTCTTGTCAGTTCTTCTCATCTCGAAATCATTTCGAACTGACGGTAGATTTGATATATCATAAGAGTCTGTAATAGACCTACATGAATAAAGATATTTTGATTTGATTCCAATATTAAGCTTGGTTAGTAATGATTCTAAAGAATTATAAATATGTAATATTAAAAACTATCTCAATTTGTCATTTCAAATGAAAACAAAATCAACAGTTTAGTTTTGTATTTGATTTACTCACGCGTCTCTTATAATTATTTACCTTGCCGTCGCTTCTTTGTTCTTACTTATTGTAACAATATTTTTAATGCATAATATTTTAATTTAATACTAATTATTTACTTTTATAATTTATGAAAGTTCACCGAAAGATGGTTTCATTACTTAATTACCTAAAATGCATGTGTTATGTTTGAACTTGTTGATTTGAACTGCTGTTAATTTGTGAATCACTGGTGCTCAATACATAGTTAAAAGGGATATAAAAAAATATATATTTTTTTTAGTAACAAGCGACCTGTCCCGGCTCCGCACGGGTGCAATGTTACGACATCAAATTACAAATCTATTATTTTTTCGGCTTTTCTGTGATGTATATATTATACATATAAACCTTTCTCTTAAATGACTGTATCTATTACTGAAAACTGTATTAAAATCCGTTGAGTAGTTTAAAAGATCTAAGCGAACAGACAGCGGAAGCGACTTTGTTTTATAATATGTAGAGATAAAAAAGGTTTTATGATTTCTGTCATTTAAACTTTTTTTTATGTAATATATTGAAGAAATTTAAAAGTAAATTAGGCTGTACGGTCTAAGTATCTTTGCCTGTTCCATCCTATAAAATGAGATGGACGAATATGAAAAAAAAAGTGTAATATAACTATGATATTTGAATGAAAAGTTTAAAAAAATGTTGCAAATAAGAGAATGTTTCGCTATATAGTACATAGATGAAGTTAATATTGCAACCAATTTAATTTTTACGGTATTTACATCTGTTATACATGTCAGATTTTTATTACAATGTACGAGTTCACTATTATTTATTACTATTTCAGATTATTTGCATTAACTTTAGATTCGTTGCTGTGTAATTTATGACTTCGATGTAATTTACAATTCAAGGAACGTAATTACCAGTTTATTGCTTTTTACGACGCTCGAATAGGTCATATTTACAAATTGTGCAATTTGCAATAAGTTTGACCTAAAAAAAATCTTTGTTTATTTTCATTTTTTTATTCAACAAAATGTTTTTTTATAAATTAATTTATTAGGCTATTGATATATTTAAGTGTTTTTGAAATAATTAAGTAAAAAGATAAAATTAAAAAAGATTAAGTAAATAAATAAAACAATAATTTTCGCGTTACATTACAATGAAACAATCATTGTAATCTAACGCGAAAATTATCGTTTTATTTATTTAATATTTTTTATTAATCCACCAAAATTATTTAAAAAATGATTGTAGTTTGTTAATATTATTTCTTGTATCTTGTTTTTCAATATTTTTTGTCAATTTGATTATATTATAGAAGTTAGACAATCAAGCGTAATTATTTTATTTATTTAGTATTTTATGAATTCATCTTAATTATTTAAAATATGTCTGCAGTATATGAATGTTATTTCCCGTATCTTTGTTTTTCAATATATTGTTTGACAATTTGATATTTTAGACTTTAGAAAAACAAACGGTACTTACAGTTGTAGGCAGCGGGGACAGGTAATCCGGCCTCAAATATTGATTGCTTGATGTGAGCATATTGCTCCACAATCCTTGATCTTTTTCCAGCTTAACAATTATCCACACACAGCACAACACAAAATCGTATTCGTCAGCACGTCATCCCATTCACAAGACACTGATCACAGTAGACAGCTCGAAGGACGTAAGTCACAGACGGTTGCCGGCGGTGGACTGGCGTTCGTGACGTGCCGCTCCCCCCTCCCCTCCGTAACACCTTGTCACTCGTGGCCGCGCCATTTTTGCATTTTGTGTACTTTGCGGGAGCTTTGCTGTCTTATCCCCACCGCTGTTTGACACCCCGTTTGTTGAGTTCCGTCTCGCTCGCACTCGACAGAAATTACTAAGCGGTGCCTTTGAACGAGTTCTGATGAAAGGATTATATAAAATATGCATCGCGGTATTAAAAGGCGTCGACTGAGATGCACAGCGTAGGTTGTGAACGAATGATTTTAGTTTTGGAATTGCTGTTCCCGCGTTTTTTGTTTTATTGAGTTTTCATTCGATCATTTCATCGTTTCTTGACTTATATTGCGTTTTGTAGCTGCATTTGTGCGTAGTTTCATGTACATTTGTTAGAATGTATAATTAAATTTTGTGTATTTATTTATGATTTAGTTGCGTAATATTCTCAGGTAGAAAGAGTAATAAACAGTAAGTTTTTTCAAGATTTTTGGGACCACCGGGTAAGTTTATGAATTTGAATAGTTTTCTAATTTACTTACCGCTAACAATGACAGGTTATTAAAATTATCATAAAGCTTTTGTATCTTTGCTGAATGAATGTTAAGTAGATATATATAGACAATGCCCAATAACATTATACTTAGTAAATCTTTTTTAACAATGTTAACAAGTAGCTGAGTGTTTTATTATAATATTCTTGTCTTTAGTTCAAATAGAATGGGGATTTTTTACTACTAACTGATAGCATTGATTAATATTTGTAGAAGATAAGTTTCTATCAACAATATAATTATTCTGAGTCAGAGATATGAATTTAAAGACATACAAATATGATAAGAAACTATTATCAGTTCACTGGGTATGGGACTTTCTAAGAGGAGGACTGCTCATCAGTCAAGTGCCATGTTGGCTATGAGGTTTGGTATAGATATCGATTATTTGCAGTTGTTCTTATCGTTTTGTTCATCAGTCTGTCTGTTTTACGACGTTCTGGAGATGAAAGGGAGTGATAAGGTAATATCCTTTTTTAAATATATCGTTATTTCGTCGTCAATTGGATGATATAATTGGCTCTGGCAATTGGTAATGACAGATCTATCATCTTATATATAAAAGTCTCGTGTCACAATGTTAGTTACCACACTCCTCCAAAATGGCTTGACCGATTCATATGAAATTTTATGTGTATATTCATTAGGTCTGGATTCTCATACCTAATTAATATACACATAAAATTTCTTAATTTGGTTACTATTTTTTCATACACTAAGCGGTATGAAAAAATAGTAACCGATTCTCAGACCTAATGAATATTAGATAGTTAAGGGTAGTACCCTAACAATTTTTTTAAATTTTTTGGATAATTTTTTTTTATAATGTAGCATTAAAAACAATGTTCGGATAATGCAGTAGTAGTACTTTAATTTACAAATCTATGTGGTCTATAACCGATTAATTTATATTGCAAAACAACGTACATGTGGTCCAAACGAATATCATATAACAAATATATATTACGTATGTGGATATTGGATATGACGTAATCTAAAACCTTGTGGCCACAAGAAAATGGTAGACACAGTCAAACCTCCATTATTTTCTACGGGAATGATTGATGAGACTAATACGCGGCAACAATACATTACAATCGCTTCAAAATGCATCGTCACTCCATTATTAAGAGCGACACTGACTATGCTTTCAACCTAACGCCATTTACATTAATAACTTAAATAGAATAGAATAGAATAACATTTATTACATCACACATCACAACACAATAAAAACGATACTGACAGCTGCATATAAATTATTATATAAGATAAACGTAAATAAAAACAATGTATTAAATTAGAGATGAATTCATTATATATAGAAAAAAAAAATAAAAGAACAAGAGAGTAACAAACAAATCAATAAATAATAACAATAGAATAGAAAATCATTTATTCAAATAAACTTACATTGAAGCACTTTTGAATAGTCATTACATTTTTTTAATCTACCGCTCGTTCGCTGTCTCATCACAAGAAGAACGAGCAAGAAACTTGCGTGTTGCTCTTTTGAATTATTACATATTGAACTAAGTTGAATATGTAGCCTATACAGTTACAAAAGTATCATCTAAATTATATTTTTGTAAAAACTAACGCATGTATACGTGTATGGTGGAGCTTTGACTGTATAGTGAATGACAGGCTTTAGATAGTAATAGTTACATCACGAGTCACGAGTCAGCCCCCAGCTAGATTGACTGCATGCATTCAATATTAACGTATGCCTCACATTTAACTTCCAAAGTAAAGAAATAATGTTTTTTTTTCTATAATGGAATGAGATAGATATGTACATTAAAAAAAACATACATTACAGAAAACAAACAGACCGATACAAACAATCATACTAATGAATACAAATGTTTGTACCGTCAAAGGAATCGAATCCGCGACCATCTGTACCGTTAGACCACCGAGATTATTAACAAATTTTTGTTTAGGTCAATTTTTGAATTTATACAAATTACAAAATCGTATATTTCAATGCACAAGATTTATAATATTACCTAATTATTATTTCTGTTAATGTTTTCTATGTGTGGCCTTTTAGCCTTCTGATTGATCCTCCGTCCAGTCCAAACGAAGGTTGAAATTACGACGACCTGAGCCGGGGTTCGAACACCTAGCGGTGTCCTCAGACAAAAGTCGTATCCGTCAGGCGGGAGTTGACCTTCAGCCGTAAGTCTTTTCGCGGGTTTGGGGTGCCATCTGCACTCGTCCTCTATCGTCCGGTGAAGCTGTAAAGGCCAGCTGCGTCCAACAGCATTAGAGTAATCCGAAAAAAAATAACGACCTGAGCCGAGGTTCAAACACTTAGCTGTGTTCTCAGATTAAAGTCGTATCCGTCAGGCGGGAGTTGGCCTTCAGCCGCTCTGTAAGTACTACCGCAGGTTTGGAGGACCATCTGCACTCGCCCTCTATCATCCGGTGAAGCTGTAAAGGCTGCGGCCAACAACATTAGAGTAGTCTAAAAAAAATCTGACAACCTGAGCCGAGGTTCGAACACCTAGCTGTGTCCTCAGACTAAAGTCGTATCCGTCAGGCGGGAGTTTACCTTCAGCCGCTTCATAAGTCCTTCCGCAGGTTTGGAGTGCCATCTGCACTCGCCCTCTATCGTCCGGTGAATCTGTAAAAGCTGCGGTCAACAGTATTAGAGTAATCCGAAAAACAGTGTCCTTTTTTAAGAGGAATCATTTTTACACTGTTTTTCAAATATGTTTTGGCTATTCATCATGAAACAATGAAATGAATTGACGACTCATCCAGATCTCAAACATCAGCACAACATCAATACACGGCAACGACAGAGCTCGTTTCACGCTGCCCGTAATCACGGCAACGACAAACGGTGGCAAGATGGCCGTCACAGGGCTGACTCACAAAGAAAATTAATCAGATTTCTAATAAATCAATATTTATTGATGAACTAAAAACATTACAGAAGTTTACTAAACTAAAATTATTACAGTAATATTTTAGAAATTATATCTGCTTTAAATTTTAAAGATAGCGTTTGATTTTTATTTCTTAAGTTATAAAGTAGTAAGTTAAGTAAAATAAGTTATTAAGTTAGTTAGTATTCTAAGTATAGATGGATGTTTGTGGATCTTACACGCAAATAGTACTGAACGGTTTTTATAAAAAAGTACAGTAATATAACTTATACATTAGAATAAGATAGTCTATTTCTTGGCTATGACCTTTTGAATATACACACAAAATACATAATATCTTCTTAATATAATTTAAAAAGATATTACCTAAATTGGGCGAAATATAATGATAAATAACAAGTAAGTGTGATGCAGACGAAGTTGTGCGGGTCAACTAGTTTACAATAACTGCCAAGATTAACACATAGGATACTTTTCAATCACGTTCTTCGCTGCAGGATACAGCTGAATAATAAATAAAATATTTAAAATTCATATATTATAATTGTAGTCACTAATTAATAAAGAATATATTATTATAATAATTGTCACAACGTTGTGACAACCCTGCGGTGATGAGTATACATCACTGCAGGATACAGTTAGTTCATAAATAAAGAAGTTAAAATATTATTACACTTTTAGTCACTAATTAATAAATAAAATATTATTATAATAATCGTGACAAACTTGTGACAACCCTGCGGAGATCAGACGCGTCGCGCCGCCCTTTGTCACAGCGTGACAGCTACCGGCTCGCCGTACCGTGGCGACGCGGCTCCGGGCAGCGCTGCCTTTTTGATGATATCAAGTGTCAAGACTGATTGGCCTTAATGCATTTTATATTAGCTATCGAAGATTTCATGCAAGTTAGATTGATACGCTATCAGCCCCATTGTATATTGATTGATTAAATTACGATGTTTTAAAGTGAACCTTATTGGTCCCAAATTGGAACTCTATATTGTTCTTTACCGGATTTTTTTTTTATGATAATGGAATGTTGCACCCGCCTGCGCTAACGGTTTACGCTGGCGGAGCACCAGTAGAGGATGATAAAACGAACATGAAGACAGATCAGTTAGCCCAACGTGACAAATTCACCGGGAATTTATCAGGATGGTTTCCAGGGAGAACCGCGTGGAGGTCAACCTGACATGGTACATTGCTAGTGATGGGGTCATGAGTCCACATTACTAACAATCCCCTTATCCTCTACCGGATACATTAGCTCCTTACATATGAAATTGGCGTTTTGTCGTACTGGCCACATTGATCTCAAATATCTCCTCTTTGGTTAGGAATTACAATTTCAATTTTATACAGCTATTTACTCATGTATTTGTTTTTTGAAAACCGTAATATGTTTTTCCATGTTTGGTTTTTTCTTTTAGTAAAGGGATCAATGAACTATCTATATAACTATATGTGTTCGAGAGTTAGTTCCTTGTAATATAATAACTCCTAGTATTAAATATAATAATTTACAGTACATTAATTCTTTTATTTTTGAGTCATCAACAATATGTATGCTTAAATCTTTAAGACTGCACAA